TGTCCCAACTTCAGCGCAGCTCAGTGGGTCACCGAGACGAATAAACCGTCACCCAGTGGCAAAGCCCACTCTTTCCGTGACGACGTATCCACACATTCCAAGGTCTTTTTGAGCAGGAGAATAACGATTATGGTTAATCGGCACACGTACGCTGCTCAATAATGAATAAGAGCATCTCGTTTGGTTGAAGTCCCTTTTGATACTTAAAAATGTGTCTCTCATGTCCGAAGTAGGTACCTCAATATTAGGGAAGATGGTGCTTTTCCTCAAGTACCCGAATACTCTAAACCCGCCAACTAAGACTAATCCTGGAAGCGATCGCCTTACCGTGACGTCAGCTGAGTAGTTCTGAAGCCGGGTTTTGATGTAAGACCATTGCAGGAAATATGTTGCTGATACAGTTCAAAGGAAAAATTACACGGTGCGGAGCACACAGTATGTCAAGTGCAAAAAGGATGAGTGTACGCGCGCGTATATATGAACAACTAGCCTGTAGGTGTCAGTTGTTTCCGCTAGCAGTCGGCGTAAGTATTACTGTATCACTAGAAGATGAGAACTCAGAAGAATAAGGTTTATTATTCAGTTCACAATATGTTCCACATTAGCATTATCCTGAAGGACCAACTGTGAGTCAGGGACGGATGATGACGAAGAGTGTGCTAGGTTGGCATCTCCCAGCTTTGGCTGGTCGATATAGACAGTTTCAGGTCGACCACACGGCCAATCACAAACATCTTTGCAGCCTAACGTTCAACGGTCTTCTGGTGCGACAACATCATCCTTCCTCCGGGGACTGGAATATTTAGCAGGATGAAAATGCGCTGCTGTCCCGTTGCCTATCACCGGTGTCGATTTACGTGATAACCACATGGTTACACCTGTAGTGGATGATGATGGTCATATCCCCATTGTTTTGTTTGACAGGCATTCTGTTTCTCGCTCTACAACCCTTCCACTTTCTCATCTTTAACGCGATCTTTAGTTGCCCTTTCTTTATCACCAACACTCAGATTTAAAACAGTTTTTCAGCTTATCTGAGTTTATTTCGGAAAACTTGGTGTACCATTGAGTGGATTGTGCGCTAACAGCTTCACGAATAAGCCGATTTATGGGTAAGGGATACAAAAAGCGGAGCAGTAGTAGCAGCAGCAGGTAATTCCAATTACTCGCTGCCATTTCTGCAGCTCGTCAGATGGCGGCCATTATAACCCGAACAAGATGTACAAGAAACGAGCGAAATACGAGGCAAAAATGCGGAAGGTACTTTGAGTTGATTTCAATTTACTGCAGGCGGGGCACTGTGTTTGTCGCCACTGTCCAGCGGGTGTAATGGCATGTCCGGATAACTTCATGAGGAGATACCATGTGAGATTTTTCAATCACTTTATCAGAGTTACCATGCCATGTTCATTTGTATGTGATTTGGAAAACGACTGAATGATGACCCATTTCATGATAGCTTCATTCTCAACTACGACAAAAGACAGAAACCCGTCCTCACGTGCTAAAATGATCTGAGGGCATTTTTTAACTGTTTCTTGATACTCCATAGGGTACCTCCGTGTTTCAGGAGCACGAAGCCTTTACACTTCATTTATTATCTCAACAAAGTCCCCTGTCGGTGTTTAGAACCATAAGCAGCCAGCATGGTGCCTGCTTACGTGTACATGTAGAAAGGGTTGTGGATTATTTCGCTTCCACTCTAATGTTAACCGGACAGAACAATAAACCTCCTAGGACGGAAGTCACCCATTTCATCTGCTCTCTATGTAACGGCTGTAAAGCGGTATAATTTCGACACGAACGCTGTGTGAACCTTGGCCACAATGTCTACACTGTTACGAAGAGACTGAACCTTACCGTGGTGTGACGGTTCGCGCACCTCAGTGATCCATTGAGCTATACCGGGGAGTGCCCCTATGACACTCACAGAGTCTCATATCAGGTTGGTCAGTGATTAGAGGTCTGACGAACACAGTCTCCCGGCCCTTTAGGTTGGGGGTTGGAACATGTGGCGACTTGTTCCGTAGAAATGGTAATGCATTTGCATTTCCTGCCCTGCGGTTAGGCTTTTGAGCCATAGATTTTGTTGAGGACCCTATTCGTCCTTTTGTCTAGGCATGGGCGCCCTGACAGTATCCCAGACCTCGTACAACATACGGCAGTGAAGCATCGGTGTTGAACGCTGATGTCATGCTGTCGGTGATGATGATGATGATGATGATGACAATGCATCACTGGCCGTGTTCTGTAGACTAAGCCATGCAATACGGATCGGACGATGGGCGTACACGCTCGAGGGTTAACTTTGGTTGCTTCCATCGAAATTGCTAACCACGTGTTTTGAAATGAGTTCGAAAGTGGTGTACAGTTCTGCTCAACGAATGGAAAAGTTACATCAGTTGAACACAGATTTTTCATCCGTGTACATTTCCTTCACCGAATCAACAGGGGAATGTAGTCGGGGTACTATGTTCTGGGAACATCGACATTTAGTCTAGACCATGGACAGTCAAGTCCACTTCACAAATAGTCTCCATCGCCGCCAGCTATAGGTCATGTGGATCAATCACTGATGAACGTTCCTTTTAAAGCATATGACAACTCTATTCATGCATCACCACGTTCATGAAGCCGGAAGTAATATAAATGTGCAACGTCCTTACACATACATACATATAAGGGCAATCCGAACAGCTGCACGAAATACCTGTCTGTCTCCCTATTAAACCCAATCGAAGACCTCCATCCCGAGAATTTAACCCTACATGTTTTGTCTGGTCGTGAGCACGTTCTGCATCTGTGTTTTCATACATTAATTCGAGATGGGTGTCCGTTCTCACCGAAAGGCTTTCCGAGTTTCTAAGGTGTGAGGACTGTGTAAGAACCGGAATCTTCATAAACTTGTCCTGGATCATCCTTGCACCAGGTCCTGAATGATGCTGTGCTAACCTAAAGCTGTCACCCTGACTTTGTTGTCGGGCTTGAGTGCTGCAATGATCCCGCAGGATACCTTGGCTGGAGCTTTGTTCCACAAGGTGCAACCATGCCGGGAAGGCCAAATTGGAGCAGTCAGACCAAGAGCAGTGAGACCTTGTACTACGAGTATTCGTGCTACGAGGCGACTGGAGTTAAAGTTGTACTGTCCTCTGTGACAGAAGTATGAAAGCGGTGAGGTGTTTCCCTCAGGCAGCATGTCTATATTCATGCTGCCTTCCCCCGAAGGTTAGAAAAGGTCGTCCCCCAAAACCACACATTCCGATCGCCCAACGGTTGGCCGTGACCGCCAGCGCATCATTAAATACAGTCGAAACCAGAGTCGGGTGCTGCTAAAAAAACACCTACTGTGCGCAGCCGCATAAGTAGTGAGACAGCAATGCCTTACTCCCTGCTCCCTTAAGTTAGGCTCCCGGTGAAAGGAAGAAGACCTTCGCTGCGGAGCCATTTACTATAAAATTCCAACCGACCAGTTACAGACTACTGGACAGAGAAGCATAACTTTCATTTGCATCTTATTTTGTTCGGCTGTAGCACCTTTTCGGTGTCTAACTGCCATGCCACACGAGGGCTGTCACAGTGGACGGATTCCTCTCCTAAGTTTTATTAGCTTTCGCTCTACATCAGCTATAGCGGCTTTCGACCACTTCTCGCTAGGCTTTCCCCATTACTGAAGAACAGGATATGCATTATAGTGGCTCCGTAGTTTATTTAGCAGAAAGGATAGCGTTCACAACTGTCCCCGATACATTTTCCAGTAGCTTATTTGTGCGCGCCTGAGTGTGCTGCGGCAGGCCGCCTCATGTTTCAATTGGTCCCGTGCGCCAATATCGCAATACGTTGTATGAACGTAACACACTACTAATCATGTATATGGCGCTGAATTTGGTCAGCGATGACATGACATTCCAGTTATAATCCCTGATAGTATCAAATGTCTCCCTGAAACGTGATAGGGTGTCAGTGGGCCACTCGTATTGGCTAGCCAAACGAAATTGCTTTAGATATCACGTTCTACTGTTAATTCTCACCGTTTACATCACTACTTGCATTTGTGTCCGAATTCTTCAGCATCATGGAATGGCTCACGGTGGTCATTTTCCACCTGCGATGTATGGTCCGTCAGGATCGATGTGTAACTATCCACCTGGTGCGGCACCGTATGTACGACCGGGAATGATGCCTTCGAGTCAAGCACAGTACCCAGGGGGGATGATGCAAGGTCAACCATACGGTTCGTATGGGCCTGCAATGGCGCCCGGTCAGCCAGGCATGATGCCCGGTATGCCCAGCCAGCCCTATCCACAGAGTGGAATGCCTGGACAAATGGGTCAACCGCCACCTTATGGCAACGCGCCGGGAATGCCGCCGTATTCTGGCATGCCAGGTCAACCGCCCTTTTATTAGTAAGTGGTCACTTTTCCAGAGATTCTTGTGATCGTAGAAAATAATGAGTGAATCACACACAAACATTTCGAGTAAATTGTTGATATTTCTTGATTGGTTGTTCCTTTATAGCCCAATAGAATGAAGCAGACAACTGTTTCTACTCCAAAATTCCATTCTTAGTCATATTGCAAATAGCTCCAGAGAAATTTCTGTGTAGGTTGGCTCTTCAAGGCGTTTTTGTAAAAAAAAACTTTCATGGGCTGATATTCTATCAAACAAATCGCACTTCACCATATAGATTGAGGTTGTCTCCCACTAAAGTGTGCTTTAACCCAGTTGGCGCATACTCGAGATAGCTCAATGGTTAAGGCGCGAACTTGTTGGCCGGATGGTTTGTAGCTCGCACCCAACCCCAGCATCTTGATTGCTCCTGTCTAGACATGGGCAACCTGGTAGTATCTCATCTCTCGTGCTCACTCCAGATGTCATGGCAGTTAGGCACCGAAATTGTGTTGCAGCTATACAATGATGATGACGTTGGCTCATGCTGCTCGTTCTCTGTGATTGGCGCCTGCATGCCCATTGCTCCTAGTCATTGCTTGAGGGTAGTTGTTTTCTTCGGCATCCACACATGACAACAACCGGTTGACGTTTCAATGCATCACAATACGTGGTTCCCATGGCTTGTTCAATTTCTCGCCTCCTTTCTGGACTGCCTCAGGCTCCAGTTGAACCACCTGGAATGATATACTTTCTAACAATGTGGTTGTGAAAACGGACGGATAAAAATGATTGAGTCACCCGAACCATGTTTAGCTCGCTTGCACTAGAGGAAGTGAATATTAACGCCGTTTCCCAAATCAGAATCGACCTCTTGTCTTTCTGTTACTTATTGTCCTCGCTACATTGTGTTGCACATTTTCTGGTGTTATTTGGGTGGTTGAATGGCAAGACTGGTCCGATTTGTTAATGTTGGTCCACCTTTTCCCGCTTTCAGATCACACTGCCGTCTAACTGTATCCACACTTTCACACCGTTATCTGCCCATTTGTTTTGCAACTCTTACGACCTCTTTGACTTGTATTCAGTAGAGTCCTTTCGAAGTTACTTTTTAAAGAGATCTCATATATTTTTGTGCAGACTGCTTCAATTGTATTTCACACTTGAATTCTATCTACATTCGTGTTCCATGTAATTTTCAGATTTATTATGGGATTGCTTATACTACATACGTCAGCCTCTCCAGCTTTGCCTTCCTCTCAGTGCTTCGGTGGGTATTGGCAACACACACGAATGTTATGATTATGTGATTCAGCACTTTCCCTTAGAGGTACATTCCGCACGCTGTAGGCTCCGTGTCTAATGAGACCTCCGGACAGGTCATCAACCGAGCTTTTTCTTTTGCCTAACCATCGGCGGATATCCAAATAAGGAATACATGGTGTGAATGGCAGGGCATCCCCTTAATTCTGAACTTAACCTAAGCTCACGTCATGAGTATACAGCAAAAAGGCTGATCTTTTACCAGGACCAAGTGCTTTTTAACTTCCCAGAGCCGGTTTAAATGAATTGTAAAGCAATACACTGAAGGACGACGTCGCAGGTATACGCGAATTGTCATTTATTGTAGCCGCAGACCTAACTGAGAGCGAGAGGTGTGCTCCTAACATTATAGGCGTCGTATCATAATGGTCTATTGGGACGCCTGCTGCACACTCCTAACAGTGAGAACTCGGTCAGGCATGTGTTCAAAGGAGTTTGAGTGAGCCATTGTTAGCGGAGTATCACAATGTTTTGCCGTTTCGAAATCGAATCGTCCAGCTGTAGCACCCTTTCGGTGCTTAACTGCCATGCCGCCCTAAGGAAGCACGAGGGTTGGGATACTGCCAGGTCGCCCAAGCCTAGACAGAGGAAGTCGAGAGACACAGGTCGGGTTCGAACTACAGACCTTCAGGTCAGTAAATTCGTGCACTAACCACTTGGTCCATCTTGACCCTTGCCTCCATAGCTCAGTGGCTAGAGCACTGGTTTTGTTTTGCCGTGTAATTTGAAAACAGTGCTCCAGTCTATGGTTGAGCCCAGTAGTCTTATGCCGTCCCCTCACGAAGGCACCATTTTCTGGTTGAGCTAATGGCTCAGGTGGAGTTCAGAGCCATTCTTCTGGGGCCTTTTAAAATGGAAATAATTCTCTGTTGGAGGTCACCCGGTTACACTGAAGTCTGAGGTCAACTAGATTCAGACTGTCTGATTCGTAGTAAAATGAGTATCTCTGTGGCAGTGAAGCATCAGGACCATTGCTGATTTTACCGTTCATATTGAAACGAACTTAGTGTCGAGCAGAAGATAGGTAAAACTCCCAAACCTAGAAGGCTTATTCGGTGGGCACGTGATTCGCTTGTGTGCCTCCTAGACAATACGACTTCGTACAATCTATCAACACGTCACGTGACATTAGATCGAGCACGTGTCTCAGTGTTTCTGCACTAAGGAGTCCAGTCCATTTCTGTGACTTATCACTGTCGAACACAAGTGTGTTGGGATCTTTGAATAAGCTCCGTCTAGAGAAAGCGTGAAGGTATGATACTAAAAAAATTAAAAAAAAATCGTCTTAATAAAGGCGCACCGGTTTTTAAACAATCACTGCTTACGTATGTGGTTTGTGAAATACAGTAAATGCTTTCTATGAAGGTAAGAACCAAAATAACCTCACCTTCAGGGATGACATTGTAGCGTTCTAAATACTGCTTATTATTTTCTCTTGTTCCCTAGTCTGAATAACTTTCAGTGACATGTTGCGCGTCGTCTGCTTAGGCACTCTTGTCCGGGCCCGTCTTTTGTTGCCTTGAGCCGTCGTGCCTCGCCGAAAGCCTTTGTTGTCGTTTTCAACACTCGTTTTCTTGTTCTATCTTGATATAACCGAGTAAAAGTGTTTGTTGCGAACTAGAACTAGGCAGAAGGCACTAAAGCGTTAGGAGAAAGTGTTTTTGAACACTGATATCATGCTGTCGGTAATGATGTTGAATACAACAACAGAGCTTTTTGTTGCTGGGACCTGAGTGGGGTGAGACAATTCGCCTCGTCGGTTGCATGTGACAGGCGGAAACTAGTTCGAATGACGGGTGATGGACATCAAGAGAATGAATACGTGAACGGAAGAACAAAAAGAGATCTGTTCCTTTCACGGAAAGTATGTATGAGACTGTTGGGTCTGACAGCATAATACACTACTGACAAGTATAGTTCTCAGAACGGCATGTGAGGTGCCATTTGAGAATATCTACAATTGCGTCGCAGACTAACAAGGTTTGTGGGCTGCTAACATGAAACTTTCTAAATTGTTCGGTCCATACTGCAAAAAAATCAGTCCGACAGATAAACACTAGAAACTGTGGGAGAATTCGCTAACCGGTACTGGAATTTGTCACCTGTGTCATTTGTGTGCCACACCATGTTTTAGCAGTCTTTCGCTCGGCTGGATTTGCCTAAGACCCTATAGTTACTCCGAACACGGTTCACTTTACGTCTCCCTCACGTGCTCCTTGATGATGTCAGCATCAGAACGTGGTTCCCTTGTTTGACCTTACATTAGGTTAGTCTATATTTAACTCAGGTCTAATCTTTTGCGCGCTTATTCGTGATCCACAGGATTCACTGTACGATAGGTTGATTCGGACTGTCCACTGTGACGCATCAGTCGCTATGCTTTTTGCATGACTCCATTCCATCGCTCTCTGCAAGTCTATTCCTAATTCATGTTCGGTAGTGTCTTGTCTAATGGATTCCATCTGGACCAAGAGAACTCAGAGAGTGTGTCTTATAATTTGACGGACAAACACAGATCACTGAAAGCACTACGACGAGCAGAGGTCATCAGACCTTGGAACAGGTAGGGTATAAGTACTAGGAATGTGGACATGATTCAATACCAGCCCTACCAAGGCAAGTTAAGCCACAAAATCCTGTTGTTTTCACAGATTGGACCTCATGCATCGAATCGCCGCCACTTTATCAAACATAATAGATGGTTTATGACTGAATAAACCTCTTGTTTTTCTCATAAAAGAAGCTACTCGCTGAAAACTCTTCGACAGCTCACGACCGGTTTCGCCCTTTGTGGCGCAGTCATCGAGTTTCCGTCAACCTGGGACCCAAAGTGGACTGATTTCGACGAATACACTCATTTGCAACTCAGTTTGGTTTTCACGGGAAATTCAGCTGAATCTCTCGTTCATGATATTCTCCGACTAAATGTGCTGCACAAAGGCCGCCTCCTGTTTCAGTTGGTTTGATATTTGAGGTATCATAATTTATATTCCTAAAGAATACTACTCACAAGGTTACTGAAAGCTCTTCGACAGCCCATGACCGGTTTCACCCTTCTTGGGGCGCAGCCGCTAGGCGTCATCTTCGATTTTCTGTCAACCTTATGTTGTACTTTAACCCGCTTGGGTCTTTGCAGTTGTTGTGTCCAAAAAGTGGCGGGGGGTTGCCCTGCACAGGATTCCTATACCAGTTGTGCTAAGTTCATTATAGATAACCGTCTGTCGATGTACTTGCTAACGTAAGCGTATTGAGAAAGTTAATCAGATTCTGGTTTGTCTAATGTGGTTCCTACGACCATCCGTCGTGTTTCGTTCAGCACTAACAAGGTCGCAGCGTCTTAGTTTCTGATGACCTCTGCTGGCTGCAATGTTTGTTCGTCGCGTCATCTGCCAGTTATCCTGTCCTGATCTGAATTCTGATGTAAACTGCTGGTTGGACACGTGAAATAGCTGAATTCTATCTGCCCCGTTATGCTACTTCCTGCTGTCATGAAATACGCGCATTTTGGTATGCACTCTGAACCTCCAAAGTTTGAATTCCTGTTACAAGACTGAGCAAGTGGAACACTAATGTTGATCGTTGCATCACAACCATCAGAGCTGAAGGACAGGTTCGCCTGTTAGGGTTGCTGCATCTCGTCGACTAACTGAATCGCTACCTCCTCTCTGCATTATTTCAACTTAGGCAATTCCAG